GGAAAGCACCAGTCCTCAATGTGACCGGAACAAAACTGGTGATGTTGCTTAGCTTGGTTCGCGAAACGTCTGCAAACAACACTTCGGCTCAGAGAATTCATCAATACCAACAGATATTGCCTTTAGTGAGTGACACGATCCTCTGTCAGACCCAATGCTAGATGAACCAGTATAAAGCAATAGTGCACAGTTATCAAGCTCTTAGCAGTGACGAGTATTTCCGTATTCCGATGTCTTATGCGGTGCAATCTGCAATGTTCAAAATGAATCAACATAGTTCAGATTGAATCATTTGAGCTAGTGTTCTCAGAAGTTCTGCTATCTCAACTACGCTGTGTTGTATTTTATCACATAGTATTGAGATGAACAGTGCAGCAGATGAACATTCCAAGTCCCCGAATTTCAAGTAGCGAACAGCATAAGACACTGAAATGGTACTTGTGCAATCGAGTCGGGCAACAGAAAAAGCTGATTACCAAGGTTGTGATGATGGTGGTGGCAGGATTCGAACTTCGAACTCTGAGGCCCGGCTCCAAGCAAAAGGTAGAACAATATCTGACACTTGTTTCGCTAGTTGGTTATCTACAATCGGTATCAGGCTGCCTGGCACTACGAAATTTCATAATAAGACGAACGAAATGTGAGTAAGTTGGAGTCGTTGTTTATATCCCAACGATTAACCATTAATCGAAGACGGCGACTAAGCAACATAGGTAACCAGTGCATCAGCTTGAAGATTGATCATTCAAATCAAACTAGGATCATCCAAGCTGGTTTTTCTTTAAATCTTCAATTGAACGTGGTCTCTTCCTTGTAAAGGAGACGTAGAGTCAAGTGGATGAGAAAGGTTTATCAGCTAACAGTCGATGTATTCTCATGAACTGTCCTGAGTGAACTGGGTTACTCTACATGTTTTATTAGCAAATATAAAACCACAAACAAACACCGTCGTTAGTGTCGTTTCGGAAAATCCAACACGTGAGACAGTGCTACTGAGTGAATCCGAATCGAAACATTAAATCAGGCGGAATGCGCCATCAAACGGGCAAGATGTCAGCCACAGTGCACTCGGATTGCGGTTCTCTTTGAATAAGAAAGTCAGCTGACGAAATGAGGTGTTCAAAAAAGCCAAGATTGGGAAGTTAGTCTATTAAGTATTACAGGTTTACGTTACTAAGGGATGAGAAAACGATTTATCATGCGATTTCACACACACTACTGAGACGTCTTGTGAAGGCCTAGTACAGCTTTTATTATTTTAAGGGAACGTTAGTAGGGGGTATCTACGGTATGTGCCAATTGCACCCTGGTGATGTTGTGTAACCGCATATTTCAGTATACAGTAGTAGGAGGTAAACCTCATAATCACAGGAGATGATAACCTTAGCCCAACAATTTTGTGTGGTGAATCACATAGTGTAAAGTAGTGAGCTGAGTGTTCAATTGCGGTTCGAACTACCGGTTCCAAAGAACATAGCACTAAAAACTTAAACCATCTGATATACATATATTTATATAATACCGGCTTGTAAACAAGCATAATGTCAAAGCCACAACAATAACAATAATAGGGGGCAGGTGGATTGCAATAGGGCATTATCTTATTACACACTTACGTGTGATGAAAAGCTGACGGGTAAAGCCCCATAGTCACGAGGACCTGCTGTTCAGTGATGGAAACCGGCAACCTAAGCCCCCGGACTTGGAGTGGTGAACCACATAAGGCCCCGCTAGGTTAGGCGTGGTATTAAATCGGACGACAACAAAACTGCCTACCACCAAAATCGGGTGGTAGGGCTCGAACTATACAAAATCAGAGGTATGGTAGAGGTCTGCGAAATCCACAAAGCATATACTAATGGATAAGAAGGAAAACGACAATTTATGAATCTAAAAAAGCGTACCATAACGCACGGTTGAAGCTGAGATTGTTCATGAGGATCGACAGCTGCTCGTCAATCAAAAACCGTTCGATTGTATGCGCTCCGGGCAGGACAGGAGACTCTTTCGGTTTAGGTGATCCATCAGCAGTCTCCGCAGCCACATCGTCATCATCGTCCTGATCTATGACATCCGTGTAGTCAAACATGCGAAAAATGACACGTGGGATCGGATACACAACTTCGGTATCGTACTCCGGAGGAGTGATCTGAATGAATGAATAAATGATAGCGATATAATAATAACACTTTACATTCTAGTGTCGAGTAGATAACTGAACAAGTAATTTTTAGGGGTTCGGGAGTAGCCAATCAAAGGGCTGTTTTGTGGTGGTGGTTCATGTTAGTGGTTTTCAAAACCATACAGTAGTCTACTATTGTTATTCCGCTGATTACCACACTATTGTTTGTTAAAATCTGAGTGTTTTCTGATTTGTTGTATTGTTTCTGTGAAAAATGAAAGCGGCTTTAGATATCGAAAATTGAGAACTTCAATACGGTATAAAACACTGAAACTCACCGGAGGTAAGTGATGAGGTTGTCCGGCCTCTTTAAGTCCGGGGAATGAGTCATACAATCTCCAAGTGACCTTTTCTTGCCATCCAGCACTCCGTAAATTCTTGATTTGAGCCCAGAGACAGTCCAGATACTGAAAATAGATAAAATGATGCAATTTTAATAAATGATACGTTGAATGTCCCACTGATCTGCGATCCAATCAGGGAACAGATAAAAATGACTTGAAAATGGAAACGAAAAATTGAGGTAATAATAAGAAAGCGATACGAAAACGCGACTTACAATAAGACCTCGTTAATAAATAAGTGACGTTGCAAGTTCGACTCGGTTGCGTAACCGAACACATGCGACCCAGTTTGGTAGCTCACACTATGTATTACTTAGCACTGTTAAAAGCGAGTCCTTTACAACTATTTTCTTAATCATATCGCTGAGTCCGACTCAGAACTATTGGTCAAACAGATCTGGCCTTCAAACAACGGGAAAATGCTATGGTTGGTTTACAATTCTGCGAGGACATTATCGGTTGAATATCTGTGCGAAAGTTCCGGAGTTTGAATCCCGGATGAGATGTGATTACCGGTCAGCTCTAGCATGAGGGGAAGTCAAACGAAATGAGAAAAATGGAGGATGAATCGTGACCAGTCAAAATCTATAACCATTAATCTAATACTGCTACTACTTAAAAGAAAACTGCGAATAAAATGCAAAATATATCAGTAGGATGATCTATGAAAGACAGAAAGCAAAAACAAACTCCGTTAATTTTGTCCTTGTGCTATGTTATGTTTGTTGTTTCACATTGCTTTGTACTCGACCCTCTAAATTTTCTTCTCGTTCCATTTTATCCCGTCGTCCATTTGTATGTTGAATAAAGCCTAAATATCGGGTCTTTGTCTTGTCTCTGTTCAACGGTTGCTACAATAGTCACTCACGTCACCTGTTTTCACAAAGAGGACTATTTGTTTATGCACCGGAAAAACAACGACTGCATTGTATAACTAGCAAATACGAATGTGTATCAATCAGGTTACACTGTCCAATAGACCGCTATTTTTCAACTCTGAACTTAGCGTATATAGAAAACAACCGCAACTTGTGAGAAAAGCATCGCAACTTACGTCTTCTTGAGGATGCGGATCGTCTGACTCCCAAACGCGGAGCAGAGGAACATGTGCTTTTTGCCTTTTCCTATTTTGGATTCGGTAATAGGTAGAATCGAACAACTGAACTGAACTTACGTCATATATACATCGATCGTTCCGAGGATGTCATTGAGAGCTGACGCATCGTGCGAGGCTAACATATGGGCGCTCTGAAATGGAGACAAGATATTCCACAGTTGTTGTCACATAAAGCTGTAGTTTTTAATTGGGTTGTCAGTGCAGCATAGACTAACAAAGAGTCAAAACGATAAATCGGGGCAGAAGTATGCGCTGAACAGTAGGCCGGAGAAATGGAAGTTTTGAGAGTTTTGATGCACACCCATAAGGAGTAGAATATGCATCAACAGAAAACGGGGGTGAAACAACCTGACTGTAAGACTGTCTATCATTTAACATTTTGGAGGACCAGGTGGCAGATTCCGAAATCGTCTCAGGGGTTAGGTATGCCAAAAACCCATTTATTTGCTACAAGGTTTGATAGTGATCATCATCATAGCTGTTCCAGGTTAAGGACCTGACAAAGCTATTCCATTTTTTGATAAGTGGCCCAATTTCACGGTTTTCCGACTGAGCATTACGTGGTTCATCAATATAATTCCCGGAAATTATGTTGTTTTCAGTTTTATTTTATGCAACCATCAATCTCACACTTAAGCGCAGCAGTTTTGGTTGTTGTCTTTTGATTACCCCCCAATGGAGTGGAAGGAGTTCAAATGCATCAATAAAAAGATGGATAATTCAGGTATGAACGCTATAGCCAATGCAATCGATGTGGGTTGAACACTTGCGCCGGTGATGGTGGTACAGTGGTTTAGTCTTTGTCATCGGTGTGCTTTGGTCGGAGGTCCGAGCCCCGCCATCGCCACTCAACTTTGGCGGAAGGCAGCTTTGCTGTCGTCCGGTTCAATAGCACGCCTGATCTAACGGAGCCTTAGTTGGTTCACCACTCCAAGTCTCGAGATTAGGGTTACCGATTTCCATCACTGAACAGCAGGTTCTCGTGACTGGGACTTTCTTGTCTGCTGTTCATTGCGTTAAGATGTAATAAAAAAATCTATGAAAGTCGAACACTTGCACCAGTGAGCGACCCCTTGCAACTTACCTGTATCTTTACTCAGTAGTACGTCGTCTTCATACCTCAGATCAACTAGACCGCTCACATAAATCATATACATTACAAGGCTGAATAGAAAAAGAGGGCAACCCGAAATGAAAAAGGGCTGTGAGCTCGAACTTGGCTGTCGGAATTGAAAAATAGTAATACTGACAAACTTTTATGGTATGTCATTCAATGAGAAGCAGCACCAGAATGCAGTGTAATCGACTGAGTTAAGAACCACTTTCGATCAAGTAAGATAGAAATGATGGATCTACGAAAGGAAGGTTTGTGTTCCAGAATGCGGCGAACAGTGAAAATACGACTGACGCGGCCTGGATCAGGTGTAAGAACCGACCGGATTGACACATTTTTCCATTACACACCTTAGGGTAATGAACAGCAGACGGGATAAACCCCATAGTCAGTCGAGGCAACCGGTAACCTAAGCGAACAACAAAAGCCCCATTGGGTTAGGTATGGTACTGAAACTTGGGCGACCAATAAGCCGAACATCTTAAATTACTTTCAAACAACGATTATTTGTTCACTGTAAGTAAGAAAGCAAGAATATTACCACTGAAACTGGTGGGACCTTATGGTGTTCGTTACTCTTAGTCTTGGGGCTTAGTCCTGCTAACACCAGGTAGCGATATTCTTTTGCGAACTGACTACCATCGTAGACTTTTGATCTTGTAGGCGTAAATCTTATTTAACATTCACAAATGCAATTTGAAATATGTATTGTTACGCAATGAAGTTGCGGATATAGATGGATCTTCCGGTAAGTAGCAACCAGACAGACGTCGTTTTTAGCCTTTTAGTAGTCGATTAGTGGCGATTCCGCAAAAATGACTCGGATTTTTGTAAAGTTATATCGATCTAGATCTCTATTTTGTAGCATACTGGTGGCGGTAAACCGTCAAAGTAGTAGTCGCATAATGGTCTTTTTGCTAGCAGGAAAGCTGCCCGTTTTTGAGTGAACAGCAGCTCTTCGTGGAGTTTAATCCGTCTGTTATTTATAACCCAAGGTGGCAAGAAAAAACCCACATATAATGTTTTTGGATCCTGAATGGCGATAACCAAAAAGGGATTAGTAGGAACCTGCCTAAACCGAATTCAACGGAAACGATTGATGTTCATGTGATTGATAACTAAATGTACGTTATCCAAGAAGCCATTTGTAAAACGCTGAAGATTATGCCGTGGATGAGTGGAAAGTGAATGTACATAGAGTTTTCACTGTTACTAAGTGACTTACATATGGAAGACTGTACAGGATAACGTATGCGTACCAATCGGTGCGCGACTGCGAACTACGTCCAACGTCAAGAGTCACCTCAGCAAAGTTTTCATATAAACCGAGGATGGAGTTTGCAGTTACGGTGTAACAATTTATGGATGCCGAAAGAAAGAGAATCTGACAGCGAAAATCCATGAATATATTAAAAGGGTGACTGCCTACCAAATACTTTGCATCTTCGAACGTGGCTGACTTAATTGAATCTTTTAATTCGCGATGCAGCAACTCTATAAACTAGAAAGGTAATACAAATTACCCCTCACGTACCTGGTTTACAAAAACGCGGTTCTTGATATTTATGAGACCCAACATAGTTGCGTAGATGAGCATTCTCTCAGGAATAAATTTTACACTGACAATTATGGATAAGTAATAAACCTCACCATTTGGTAAGCACCTTTAGCAGATTGTCACCATTTCGTGGGATCTCCATCAAAATAAGTGAGGTGAGCTCGCTGATATCTTTTTCGATGTTGGCCGTTGTCTGGTAGGAACTCAAGATGTCAACTCAATCTTACTTACTTTGGATCCAACACGATAAATGAGCGATTCAACGGTGTCAGTATTCGGTTTGTCCCTCTTATATCTGTAATCTAATCCAAAATTTGAGAGAAAACACAGAACAAACCATCATCTTCTGAATCGGACCTTCGCCTCCGACGCATGATACGAAGTTAAACACGTATTGGCACACCGAGAAAATTGTTCAGGTCAGGTCAGGTTCAGTTCAGTTCAGTTCAGTTGCACAGGACCAATATGGCTCTTGCCAATCGAGCGTCCAGT